GCGCGGAGATACTGTAGTGATTTATGATCTGCCCGTACTGTCACGTCTGCGCCGGTCAAGTAACAGCGCCAAACCTTGAATGCATGCACGATCGCGAGCATTTCGCGGTCGTGTATCGGGTAATTCTTCTCGGGCGGATGCAGTTTTCGTGACTCGTATGCGATGGGCTGTAAACCGTTGCCGAAATCCTGTAGCAGGACGGCTCCAATGGCAATGGCGCTTGCGTCTGTAACTACTTCGAATGGGCGATGTGGGTCAGTGATGCGCAGTACGGGCGGTGAACAGAGAACATGTTTCAGGGCAGAGAAGGCAGCATGCTCTTTCTCCCCCCACGTAAAAGTGACCCCCTTCCGCAGTAAATCCGTCAGTGGGGCAGTTAACCGTGCCATATCGGGGACGAACCGACGCACATAATTAACGAACCCTAAAAAGCTCTGCAGCTCCGTGATGTTCGTCGGGGGGTGCCACGCTTTTACCGTGTCCAGCTTCTTGGGGTCGATTTCAACTCCAGCCTCCGAAATAACGTGCCCCAAAAATTCTAACCTATCCTGGAAGAACTCGCACTTGGAACCCTTGGTCAGTAATCTGTGCTCGTCTAAAACCTTAAATACGGCTTCCAGATCTGCTAAGTGCTGCTGCTTATCCCGACTGTAAACTAGGATGTCGTCGAGGTAAACTATCACGCATTTATCTAAGAGCGGCCTAAACGCCTCGTTCATGGTCATCTGAAAAGTCGCCGGTGCGTTGGTCAGCCCGAATGGCATCACGGTGTACTCGAATGACCCATACCTAGTTCTAAATGTTGTTTTTACGCAGTCCGATGGTTCGACCCGAATCTGGTGGTAACATCCCTGTAAATCTATTTTCGAAAAAACTTGTGCTGTTCGCAGCTGGTCGATCAATTCGTCAGCGTGGGGAATGGGGTATCGCGACTTGACTGTTACCCGATTCAGTGCTCTGTAATCGATGCACATGCGAAACCCCCCGTCTTTTTTCGGTGTGAACAGTATCGGTGCGGCGAACGGTGACGAGCTCGGTCGGATGGTTTTTTTCTCTAACAAGTAGTCTAACTGCTTCCTCAGCTCATCGAGCTCAGGCTGTGTCAGTCGGAACTGTCGCTGTACGGTTGGCTGTGCCCCGGGTTCTAACTCTATGCGGTGGTCGTGTGCTCGCTGATGTGGCAGTCCCTCCGATAAGTCGTCGGGAAAAATCCCCGGGTACCGTTTCAATAGCTCCTGCAGTTCGGGCGGTACCGCTGTCAACAGTTTCTGAAAATCGCTCGGCCGCTCTGCTTCTCCTACCAATGCTATATCCACTGCGTACACGTCAGCTCCAGCGGCGACAGCCCGTTTCATCGTGATAGCGTTGACGTGGACCGTTGAAGACTCGGGCGACTGCCAGCGAGGTAGCACGATCCAGTTACTGCTACTTCGCACAGTGCAGCTACCCGTCGTCAAGTCGATTCGCGGGTTATACCGTCGCAGCCAATCACGTCCTAGTAAAATGTCGTGCCCATCCAATGTCGTCGCGAGCATTTCCTGTGTAAACCCAAAATTCCCCCCGCAGCGGACCTTTACTTTCTCCACCTTCTCCCGTATGGCCAGCGGCGTTCCGTCCACTAAGCGTGCATCTATTTCCGGTAAACACCGACTAAGTGTCAGTTGCAGCTTCCGGGCGGTTGCGGTATTAACTAAGCTGTGGCTTGCTCCTCCGTCTATAAAGATTTTCACTGCTGCTCCCTGTACTATCCCATGAATCAGTACTGGGCAATTCGTCGCTGTACCCTCCTTATTCATCCGAGCCCGATCGATAGCGTGAATCGGTACTGTGACTCGGTGAGGGTCGGTGTGGTTGGGCGAGCAGGCAGTCTCGTCAGTAGTTGGCCCGATTCCTACTGACTGCTGGCGTTTCCCTGCCTTAGAGACTCCCTCCCCTGCTCTGCTCCGCGGCGCCTCAGCTCCTCTGGGCACTCACTCTTACGATGGCCCGGCCTATTGCAAGCGAAGCAGCGCCTCTTAAACGGCGCGGCAGCTGCGTTCGTCGCAACAGCGTGTACAGTGGCGTGCTCGATTGGTCCCCGAGGGCGATGTCCGTAGTAGGACCCCGGTCTCGGGCGGCGTAAAATGTCGATTTTCTCGGCGAGCGCGAGAATCTCGTTGAAATTCGAGAGTCCGCGTAGCATGATTTCGTGCGAGATGTCCGGCTTCAGCCCTCCGACGTAACGGTCCACCCGCTCCGCTTCGTGCATATAGCCGACTTGCTCGCATAATGCGAGAAAACCGCTCGTGTAGTCTTGGACCGATCCGAGCTGCCGCCAAGTACGCAGTTTCTGACGCGCCGAAATAGAAGCCGCGATCAGCTCGAAGCGCGCCCGAAGCCCTGCGCACCACGCATCCCACGTGCTGTATTGGGCGGTTTCGCAGAATGAACTCCAGGTGACAGCTGGGCTCGTGGGCCCTTCCTCTTCCGACGGTGGCTCGTAGGCGCGTGGCGACGTCACGATGACTCGCCACCAGTCCATGGCGGGGCCCCTCAGCAGCGAGACGGCGTATCTGATCTTCGTTGCGTCCGACTCGACGTAGTTCGCGTCGAAGAAGACGTTCATCGTGAAAACCCACGATTGAACCGTCGGACCTCCACGTTGGCTCGGATCGAAACAGGGCGAGCGCTGCGTCTTGAGTGGCATTGGTGCCATGATGTCATGGTTGCCACTTGTTGCTGCAAACTCCACGTGCCGACGAGCTTCGCGAGGCCCACGCGGGCTTGGCGCGGCCCGATTTCTCTCCATGCCAGGCATCGATTGAGCGGCGCCATCACTGGCTGCGCCTGAGCGCTGTTCCACGCTGTCGTTTTGCGTCGGTGTGCCGGATGAGATGACGATTGGTTCTTCAGATTGCGCAGGTGCATTTGCGGGTGCTTGTGATGGAGCTGGTGCATTCACCGTTGATTGCTGGCGGGCGGAGTCACGTTCCGCCGTGAGTGTCGCGATTTCGAGTGCCGAATCTTCGAGTTGACGCACGAGACGGTCGAGCTGCTCCTGCGTCAATGTCGCAAGATTAATGTCGGCCATGGCGGGGGTGTCGGGCAAACTCAGCGGGAGCCTCTGTCGTGGCCGTGCGTGCTTACGAGAGAGCACTTCGAGCGGCGGTGCTTGTTCGCTGAGAGACGTCTACCCCCCCCAAAAATTGAGATAGTGGGGAAGCGAAGGTGTGGGTGCGGTCCGAGAAGAGATCGTAGGCTCTGAATACCAAGTGGTGCAATTGAGTGAACGAGCGAGAATTGCACTATCGAAGCAAGTGTACAATGAGCGAAGGCATGAGCGAAGAATATATAGCTAAACTACAGTGGTAACGGTAATGTGTGAAAAGTGGGGTGCGCGACGGGCTTAGTGCCGAGGTTGGGAGATGTCGAGGCGGAGGTCCGGAGCGCGGGTTACCAACCGAACCGTGAGGTTGGGTCGCGTCGTGAACGGTGGCGGGAATGGTGTCGAAGCGAATGTCGCGAGTGGTAACGGATTACTGTTGGGTGCTGCTGGCAGGAACAGTGGTGTACGCGCTGAGTAGGGACGCGAAGTAAGGAAAAGGGATTTTCCTTACAGTTCCCCCCAATTTCAACGCCCGGGAAAAACGACAAGAATGCGCCTCGGTTCCTCCCAGGTGGAATATCTGTGGGTTGGCGCGAAACTCAACTCGATCCTGTGTGGCTTCACGCCTAGACTTCACCAATCAGGCAGCAGCAAACGCCAGATCACGGCCCCACGTAGAACCACCCGTCACTCACCTTGATCAATAAGGCAAACCCTAAACGCGCGACGGATCGCTTTTCCCCCTACTCACTCTCGACTTCCGCGGACAGATGCGAGTATTCGGCGGTTTTGGCGGCGACGCCTGCACACGGACCACTATCCTCACGGCCCGTCATCCCTAAGCTGAGCCTCCTGAATTGGTGGATGGGACCTACCAATGAGGCCTGAGTATGTTGTGCTATATCTCGCTCACTGATTTGGTTTAGTCAACTCACGACTGCTTCATTGTTGCTTGCACAAAGCCTTCTCTCAACTCGGCAGGCAATGGGAAAAGGTCGCAGAGTGAGTCTGGCGATGTTTTACAATTGGCAATTGTGTCGCCCAGCAATTGTGGTAACAATGATGTCGCTCAAAAACGGGCGAACAGCTTTGCACATTTTCGGGAACCCCCTTACTTGCCCACCAATTGTAATTTTCTTCCCAACCAACCTTCCTAACTTTGAAACTCTTGGGCCCCGGGTTTTAAAACAAGGCCACGCCACTGCAGATTTTCCTCATGTCAATAGTGGTACTTCCACGCGGGATAGCAGACTTATTCAGTCGCCTTAGATCAACTCGTACAAGGCAGCTGCTGCTGTAGCTGACTCAAAATACCGCTTCCGCCTTCTAAAGTCGAGTATTCCGCGTTCTAAAGTCGAGTATTCCGCGTTCTAAAGTCGAGTATTCCGCTTGAAAACGGGGGTTTCCGCACGGACCGCGTGTTTCCGCTTGAGCATCAGACTATTGTCGTCACACCGTGTTTGCACGGCGTATTTGACGGGGAAAAAATCAGCCGAGCTGAGACGTCGCGCTGCTCCCTCGTCCATCAACTGATACCACACGATACGAATTATTGTCGTGCTACGATACGAATGAACCTCCGCTACGGCGCACGGCGCACGGGAAGGGAGATGCGCGCAAATGGCAGGCGCGCAGATGGAATGCGCGCAGATGGAAGGCGCGCACAGCCCGGAGGGCCTCCGCAGACGGAAACTGGCAGGGGAGCACGGAGACAGCTGCGCCGTGCTGCTGCTTCTTTACTACTTAAAGTGCCGACGAGCGAGCAGAGCAGCAGCAACTATCAGTTTGTAAACTCCCTCAAGGGTCGACTACGGCGTGTTGACCACCTTTTGCTCTACTTCCTGTTGGCCCAGAGGAGGTGACCTTTGACCTCAGTACACCCAGCACCACCGGCGCTCAGTACCGCCGCTCGGTCATGGCTCCCCGCGCCACTCCCCCATCGTGGGCCGCCTCCGCTCACCCCGGCGCGGCTCCGGCTCGCTTCGTCTTCCTCGTGGCCTGCGCCGCGCTCCTGCTCCTTGCAACCGGCGCCGGCGGATCCGCCGCGTCGAACCCCGCCGCGGATGCGATGGTGGCTGCGACTGGCAGCCGACGGGCTCTGCAAGCCGCACCCGGTTCGAACAACACAACCGGGTCGACCGACACAACCGGGTCGACCGACACAACCGGGTCGAACGACACGACCGGGTCGAACGACACAACCGTCTCGAATGGCACAACCGGGTCGAACGACACAACCGGGTCGAACGACACAACCGTCTCGAACGGCACAACCGGGTCGACCGACACAACCGGGTCGACCGGCACAACGGGGTCGAACGGCACAACCGGGTCGAACGACACAACCGGGTCGGACACATACTACGACGACGACTACATGCGGGACTATTCTCTAGAAGAGGTCATCGCAGCCGCGTCGCCGTCCGGCTCGCCGCCCGCCGGCCCTCTCAAGGCGATGAAAGTCGCGAGCGACGTAAAATTCGTGGACGTGTCCAAGTCGTTCGACGTGCTCTACTCTCTCGCGAACGCCGCGTGCAAGTTCCCGAACGGCAAGACCATCTTTCTACCGACGAGCCAGGCGTGGAGCGACGCGCTGGCTGGGTACAAGAAGACGCGCAGCAGCGGCGCGCTGTACGAGGCGCTCGACGCGGTCGCGAGCGGCAACAAGGTGAAGGACTCGCTGGATCGCGCCAAGAGTGCGACCAAGACGAAGGACCTCGCGAGTCTTGCCGCCAAGGCGAAAGCGTGCAACGCGAAGACCACCAAGGCGCCGCCGATGTCGGAGGCTGCGAGGACTGCTCTGTTGAACCTCATGTCATTCCACACCGTCGAATCGAAGGTTACCGTTGTGAACCTCGATAGCCAGGTACAACTCTCGAAGCGCCTCAAAAGAGGACTGCTCTGCTGAAATTAATGTCGTTCCCTCACTGCCGAATCGAAGGTTACGGTTGGAACCTCGATAGCCAGGTACGTCGCGACTTGTCCTGCTTTCTTGTTGCGGGTTCGATTGGATTGAACTGGATTCGATTCGATTCAATTGTTTCGCTGTGCTGTGCGTGCTATCGTTACCTTTCCAGGTGCTCCCCAAACGTACATGCTCTCATTGCTGCTGCTGCTGATACTACTACTACCAGTTTGCTCTTCACTGCTTGGTCGTCTCATGGTGTTCCTCCTCTGCTTCCTCCCCGCCCTCCCCCAAACGTGCACTGTTGACGTGGCAGTGTACCGCCACTGGCTACGCAATCAAGTCCGCGTTCAGCGGTAACAATTTGAACTTCAAGTGCGACAGTAGCAACACGGGAAAGATTTCCGGCGCCGACCCGCTCGCGTCCGGGGCTGCTGCGGGGACCTCGTCTGCTGCTGCAGCTATCCAGGAGGCCCAGAAAGATTATTTCTACGTCAACGCGCTTTTTTTCCCCAGAAATATCGCCTCCCTGCCCGGTACGCAGCATGGATCAACTTGTTACTCGATGTACAGTACTCCTTTCTCTGCTGTACATTTCCTGGCCGCCCACCGTAGCCAACACAAGGTGTCTTCACCAACTCGGTTTTGCATGGCACGTTTTGCATCACGCTCACGCACCTCGCCATGTTCGCTTACCCCCCTTCCTCTCCTTGCTCCCATTTCTCCTCCCGCTCTCCGTTTACAGGGGCTGTTGCGACTGTCTCTCGTCTCTTCACCACCCTGCTGGTCCTCGCCGCAGCTCTTGCCTGCGCTCTCTAAACCCACCATGCCTCTGAAGACCCCTTCTCCTCCCTCTATTGCACAAGAATCTCGTCTCAAAGCTATCGAGCATTTGCTCTCTAAGACGTGGATTGTAGCCGTTGATTGGGCTGCTCTTGCATGCGATCTAGAGGGCCCTTCATGGCTCCTGCCATTGATTTGCACTAGACGCGGGTTGGGGTATGGAAGAGAGTGTAGGTTTTGTTCTGGAACCAGCATGCCCTTATGGTTGCAACTTGCAGCTTTTGATTGGCAGTAGGTGTGTGTTTGGGGTAGGGAAAAGGGGGTTGGGGTATGTAGGCTTCTGAAAGCTGCAGTGCAAGTCTTGTGAATTTAGTCTGCATGTTTTAGTCTGCATTTTTTGTAGTGAATTTCCTTGTCTGTATTGTCCTCCTCCAACAGAATGGCTACCTTTTCTGCTTCAGTGTCCAGTTCCGATGTCCAGTTGTTTCTGGTTTGAGATATTTCTGATTCTAAAAAATCTCTCACTTTATTCAGGCTGAGGAGGAGATGAACACTTTATTCAGTCCCACTGCCCTACATGCCATACACACTGAACACTGAAGCAATTGAACCTGCATTGGAAGATTTATTGGGATGCAATGCAATCTCAAGCCAGCGGTCCCACCTGCAGTGCATCCGGGTCTATCATTCCAACTTTCAGAGCACTTTCTCAACCTTCAAAGCAGTCTGACCGAATACAAGTTACCACGTCCAAGAGTAGCCAGCAGTATTCTCAGCAACCTCAGCAGATTCAGCAACAGCCACAGCAGCGTCGGTCTTCATCAGCGAACGGGAGTTACCACGTCCAAGTGTAACCAGCAGTCTTCGCACCAGCCTCAGCAGATTCCGCAACAGCCACAGCAGCGTCCATCCTGCCCTTCATCGCCGCAGCGGCAGCATCCGCGCTCGCCTTCGCCGCCACAGCCTTGCTCTGCGCGATCTTCGCATTCGTCACCGCCGCAGATCGCGCCGGAACCGACGCCTGGGCGTCATTCACGTCGTTCGTCGCCTTCGCAACCGCCGCCGCCGCCGCGTCGTCCGCCCTCACCGCCGCATCCAGCGACGCCTGCGCGTCGTCGACAGCCGATTGCTCCGCCGCAGTCGCGGAACTCGTCGAGTCGGGGTTGTTCGCCGCGTCCTTCGCCGAAGTCAGCTTCGCCAGCGTCTGCTGCGCGCGTTTCGCCTGTGCGACCATCTCAACAAAGAATTTGGGCCAAAAACAATGAATGTACTTAGCGCGAACAATGTTCGAAGTACTTCCTGGGAACACACTTTTAGGTTTACTATGGGCATTGCTTTGAAACAGGGTGGGTAAGTTGGAAGTTACCCTAAGCATTGTTTGGAAGCATTGTTTGTGGTTTCCACACACAATGAATGAGGATTGCATAAACCTTGTACAGTGTACACCGATAGGGGTATTAGAAATGTCGTGAAATACACTCTCTTTCAAATTCTTAAAACACTAGTATTTTTAATTCCAAACTTTGTGCTTAAACCAGATGTTATTGTACAAAGTTTCAGAGATTATTAAATGAAATAGTGTACAGTATTCACACAATTACACTTCAATAAATGCTTCTAGCTTATAGCTGGTTACTCATAATCCAAAGCAGGTTATTGTAACGGGTACAGAGTACACTTTGTGGGGTTCCACTATCTTGCACCAGAATTTAGGGTAGTTGTTTACAAGCATACATTCTAAAGTACCGAAATACCATGAGATAGACTAGTCAGACAACAAGCTGCCCTAATAAGATACAAAACACAAAGCATCGAGTTAACCATTAAGCACGACGAAAGACAATGCCCATGATACGCCAGTTGACGTAGGGAAGTCCAACTTCAAATTCATTTGTCAAGTATTCATTGTCCAGCTTGTGGTTTGAGCATCTGTACAAGACAGGAGAACCACGACTCTGCACAGAGATTAAACAGAGATATTTGCAAAAGTTAGACAAGGACTCATAACATCGGCCAGACAAATTTCGGCTGAACATACCTGACGTTGGCGAAGATGTGTGGATGCCACGCCGCGCGCCAAAGCGGACTGGAACTGTGATCTGTTCACAAAACGGAAGGGCGGGACTCATAAGGGGCGGGGCGTAGGGTCTCAAGAGTGGTTAGCAACGGAATGGTTGGAATAGAAACGAATGGGGTACAAATAAGCAACCCTAGAAACTGTACTCCCTAGAGTGCAACTCACTACAGCCTATCATATCAATGTTCAACATTTGACACACCCCCATAGGCTAAGTGAGGGGCATCAAAGCAAGCAAGGTGAACAAACGGTCACAAGACCAGTCAAAGCAAGAACCAAGACAAGCTCAGGGTGGATCTCAAGGACACCACACAAATTCCGAGCGCAAGCAAGCGGCCACAAGGCCAGTTCAAGAGTTCACTAGGATATAAATACAAGGCACAACAAGCAGAGCAAGCAACAGGACTACAGCAACCGAGGGCCTACCTCAACTAGCCCCAACTGCACACTGAACCTGTGGTGGTCACCAAGCGCCAAGGCCTTGGTGAAGACGTCTGCAGTGTTGGCCTCTGAGGCCACAAAGTCCAGGCGTGCCTGGCCGCGTCGCTGCAGCTCTCGCAGGAGGAAGTACCTCACGTCAATATGCTTCACTCGGCTCTCCAGTCGAGGCTCTCGACACAGGAGGATCATGGCCTTGTTGTCAGCGTACAAGGTCGGTGCAGAGCGAGGCCGCTCACCAAGGTCGGCGAGCAAGAAGGTCAACCAGCGAAGCTCCTGTGCCGCCATGGCACCCGCGTAGATCTCTGCCTCTGCACTGGAAGTAGCCACAGACGACGACCGTGTAGACCTCCACGACACAGCACCAGCTCCCAGACTGAAGCAGTAACCCTGAGTCGAGCGCTGAGTCTCCACGTCGTCAGCGTAGGAAGAGTCACAATGACCAGTCAACGCCACTGGCCGAGTCCCTCCAAGCACAAGCTGTCAAACATTGTATGTGTCATATTTGTGTAGGCTATTGTGGGTTAGCCTCTAGGGGGTACACAACTCTAGGTTTGTCATACTTGTACTCTCATTCTCCTGCTAGTCAATCATTCTCGTTTGTTCTTAGATTCTAACATGGTATCGCGAGCCTAGGTCGTAACCTAGGACCGAATGATATGGGCCCACCGTTTCCGCTTAGTCGCGCCCTAGCGCGCCTCGCCTAGTCGCGCCCTCGAGCGCCTCACTCTCTCCCTCACTATCGCGCGCCCTAGCGCGCCTCTCGCGATCGGTCCCGCCTAGCCCGCACGCCCTAGCGTGCCCCGTGCGATCGGCCCCGCTCACCTCGTACGCCCTCGCGTGAGACCCGCGCAGCACCACGCGCACCACCTGCCCCGCGCGCCCTTGCGTGCCCCGTTCGGCCCCGCACACACGCTGCCCCGCGCGCCCTTGCGCGCCTCTTACGGACCGGCCCCGCCCCTTAGCGCGCGCCCTTGCGTGCCCCGTACGACCGGCCCACACCCACCCGCGCGCCCTTGCGTGCCCCTCTTACGGACCGGCCCCGCCCCGCTAGCCCGCTCTTCCGTGCGACGTGCGACCAGGCCCCGCCCCCTCTAGCTCGCCCTTGCGTGCCCCGTGCGACCAGGCCCCGCCCCGCTAGCTCGCCATTCGTGCCCCACGCGGACCGGTCCCGCTCTGCCCTGCACGCCCTCGCGTGCCCCACCTCGAGTAGCCGCCGCCTAGCCGAGCCGAGCCGCCCCACCGACCGAATCGCCCGGCCCGAGCTGCGCCGCCCTACCGAGCCGCGCCGCCCTACCGAGCCGCGCCACTGCTGCTGTCACTGTTACTACTGCTACTGCTGTTCCTGCTGCTACTACTGCTACTGCTCTTACTGCAACTATGGCTAGCCCTGCTGTGCTCGCTTTCGATGCTGAGGGCCGCCCGCTGAAGTTTGACACCTGGCTAGATGACCTGCACCTGTTCCTCCAGCTCACTGCCAAGGAGGATATCTCGCTGTACGATCACGCACTAGGCCACGCTGCTGCCCCTGCTGCTACTGCTGACAGTACTGCTCGCTCACAGTGGCAGACTCGTGACGCCCACGCTCGCTTCGCTATTCGCAACTCCCTGCCGGTAGATGAGCGCGAGCACTTTGGCCAGCACAAAACTGCGCAGGCACTGTACACTGCTGTAGTTGCACGCTACTCCTCACCTGCCTCTGCTGCGCTAGGCCGTCTCTCGCTCCCCTACCTGTTCCCAGACCTGTCCGCTTTCGCCACAGTCGCTGACCTCATCACGCACCTCCGCACTAGTGAGGCCCGCTTCCGTGGCGCTATGCCCGCTGAGTTCCTTGCCACGCACCCCCCCCCCACTCTGGCTTACTCTCTACCACCTAGTCACCCGTCTCCCTGACTCTCTTCGTGCAGTCAGGGACCACTTCCTCGCTCGCTGCCCCACTGAGCTCACCGTTGACCTGCTCGAGAAGGAACTGCTTGCAGCTGAGACTAGCATAGTCGCTGTAGCTGCCTC